TTTTTCCACATAAAGTAAGTATTATGGGTTGGTGAAATCTGAAAAGAATCAAAATTGTGTTTGGAGTTTGTTGTAGATTATTATAAGTCCGGAGTCTAATCATTTTGACCTATTTATTGAAATTAAGGTGTAAACGTTTGACCTTTGAATGTGATATGTTCAATACTACTAAAAAGGCTCAAATTTGAAGTTATTGTGTAACTACTCTTTTGAGTTTTTTTTGTAAATTTTTTCTCATCTTCTGGAGATTTTGATTGCAGTTGTTGCATTTGGTTGAAGCTGTGAGGTTGATCCAAAGCTATGGATTTCAATCGAAAATCTCATCCGGATTGTCAATATTCGGAAAATCCTTTTCATGAATGTGCTTCAGCTTGTTTAGAGAGAATTGCTCAAGGCCATGTCAAGAAGAACACTAAGAAGCAAGGTAACTTTTTTTATTTTTTGTTTTGCCAATTTGAAACAACTTTTCAAGAAAATGTTTTTAAGTCTTTTGTGTATTTCTGATTCTTGTATTGTTTTATCATAGGTTCAAAGATTCTTAGCTTCTCAGGGAGTTTTGGTAGGAAAAAGAAGGAATCGAATTCACAACCGCCTTCACCGCTACCCTTAAAGCCTTACCAAAACGGTGTAGGCGCTTTCGCAAACGCAAAGCCTTACCAAAACGGTGTTGGCGTTTTCCCAAACGCTAATTCCCCAAAGGTTCATCATTCAAAAGCTCCACCTATAGTTGTGAATAAGAAGATGGATCCTGAATCGAATAAGTCTTTCACTTCTTCATCATCCACTGATCCGGATGAGTTTTATAACCATAAACCGGAGTTGAAACTCTCTCAAATCATTCCTCTGACCCCGAAAAATTTGGTATTCTCATCTTTTACTCTCTTCCATATGATTCCATCTATAAAACATCTATGTTAGATGTTTTCTCAATGTTTGTATCATCTTATGAAAGGTTGATCGAACCAGAACGGTATCACCTAAACCGGGGAAAAAAGACCACAACGGGAAGATTGGATCAGGTGGCGAAACTACTCTCTTTAGTTTCCTAAGCTCTCCAAGAATGCATGAAAAAGAGAGCAG